TTAGGCATCTAGCTATAGAAGGTAAATAAAAATACAACTACAATCCTATCAAATCTAATTGAATCTTAAATAAACTTTAAATAATCTTTAATAACCTTAATCAAATTTTATCTAATCCAAAATAAAATTTTAAAAAAAAATTATAAAAGAATATAAAAGAGTCATAAATTAATCTCAAGGAAAAATAACAAAAAAATCGTAAGAAAATCTTTAAAAAATTCCAAATAAAACTTAATCAATTTTTATAGTTGTTTGAAACTTCAATAAATATTAATTGAATTATAAATCTTGAATAAAATTTCACCTAGACTTCAATCAATAAGTAATTAATAAGAACATACAATTTGAAAAGAATTTGACATATTATTTATAAAAAAAATCTCCAAAATCTCTTGGTTGTTGGCCGCCCTCCTTCTCTAACTTGAATATTGATCTTTCAACAAATGTTTCTCCTTCCTAAATTATTCAATTTCTCTAAAAATTAGATTATATGTAAAATTTAAGTCTAAAATTTTTTCACCAAATTTTACTTCAGTTGAATTAGTAGATCTTGAAATTCTTCACTAATCCTAAATCTTAATTATCTAAGATCATAATCCACAAAAATTCTTATATTCTTCAATCTAATTGCTTCATTGACTTCAAATTTTTAGATGCATTAACAACAAGCACAACAAGATATTGCCAAAATTTTACTTCTAAATATATGAAAAAACTCACAAAATCTTAAAATTTATAAACTTATTTTTATTTCTTAAAGCTAAATTTATTAAGTACATTATTAAATTTAAAAATCCCTCAAAACCTCAATATTAATTCAAATGATATGAAATTAATTCCTAAAAATATTTTTATTTATTTTATTTTTTAGTCTTCCTTTTCAATTAGAAAAAAATCCTTTAAATAATATAAGTGCTTGGTTTTTTGCCTCATGGTCTGATTTCAATTCTAATTGGCAACCAATCCTCTTTGGGTATCAATTCTTATTTTCTTAAAGTAATTTTTGCTAAAATCAAATCTCAACTCTTTTTTACACATGCTTACATCTTCTATTTTTTTAATTAACCTTATTTTTTCTTATTTATGGACGTACAAAGTAAATAGAATTTATTTTTATAAACAACAATTCTAATACTATAAGATTTTATTACTTGCCTATCTTTTATCTATATTTTTTTATTATGTATTTTGTAATATGGCTCTTCCATAATAATATAATTTCTTTCTTCTTTTACCTAATGGATATATTACTACATAACAATGCTATATCATTGGAATACTTTATCAGATATCATCTATAGATTGGTAGAAGCTCTTTAGATGGATAACAATGTTGCAAGCATTGTCATGTCATAATATGAATATATGGTCGAAAATAAAAAACATGGATGCTATTATAGAATAACCTAATAGAAATATATAGGAAAAAATCAAAGGTAAATGATAGAAAGGTAGTAAAAAATTTAATCTTAATGCTACTTTTTATAGAAAGGACTTCTATTTACTTTGTAAGAGCTTAAAAGCCTCAAATCAAAATAAATAAGACAAGTAAATACTGTAGACAACTTTAGAAGAGAATTAACAATAATTTTGAATAAAAATTACCTCAATTCATCAAATATTGGTACTTAAAGAAGACTAGTTGTCAAGCTGCGTCAAAATCAAATTCCTAAGCATAAAACCATATTCTTATGGTAACTCCGGGATTCTTTTGCAAATCAAAGTATGGAATTTGAAAGCAAAATTGAAAAAAGATTTGTAAAAGTTAGTTTCATACCATTTGGATTAATATTGAGATTTTTAGAGATTTTCAAAAATAGTGATGTATTTGGTGGATTTAGATTTTGAGAAATAAAAACAAATTCACAAATTTTAGGATTTTGTGAGTTTTTTAGTGTATTTATAGGTGAAAATTGGAAAATTTCTTGTTGTGCTTTTTGTAAATGTGTGTGAAAAATTTGAGATCAATTAAGCAATTTAATTGAAGAATACAAGAGTTTTGTGGATTATAGTCATAGAAATTGGTGTTTAAAAAATTAGTGAGGATTTCTAAGATATCTATCAATTTGCTTATTGGATTGAAATAGAAATTTGCTTAAAAGTAGCTAGCTTGATTTCCAAAAATTATATAAAGTTTAAAATGAATTAAATAATCAAATTAAAAGATTGTGGCTAGGAAATATTAACATCAAGGTTGGAAAAAGAGGTCGGCTGATCCTTGAGTGGAATTTTGAGATTATCACCTATTTGGTATTTGTGATCTTCTTCAAATATTTTGTGCTTGTTGCTAACTTAGTTTTTTCAAGGTATATAAATTTTAAATCAAATTCAATGGATTAATTTTTAATTATTGAATTTTTAATCTATTATAAGATTTATTTAGAATTTATTTAAGATTTAGGATTTGATTAAGGATTGATTAGGATTGATTCAGGATCTAAGATTTGATCAAGATTTATTTAGGATTTTGCTAGGATTTAGGATTTTATTAGAATTTAACTAAGATTTGATTAAGATTTGACTAAGATTTGATTACAATTTGATTAAAATTTGACTAAGGTTTTATTAGAGTTTTATTAAAGTTTGATTATGATTTTATTAGGATTGATCTAAAATATAGGATTTAATCTAGGATTTGATTAAGATTTATTATAATTTCAATTAATATTTCAATAAAGATTTGACTTAAAGTTTGATTAAATTTCATTAAATTTTTAATTAGGATTAAATTAATATTTTATCAAGATTAATTTAAGATTTATTTGTGGTTTTTATTTTAAATATTTATTTAGGATTCTTTGTTATTTCTTCAAAAAATATTTTTAGTATTTATTTAAAGGTTTATTTTTATATTACTAGAGAAGCTTATATTATCTTAGTAGGATCATAAACAAATAAAAATTTAAAATTATTTCCAATACAAAACAAAGAATATGCTTTCACAAAAAATATTATAAAATAGAAAAATTATCACTTAAGAAGTGATTATTTTTGAAATAGGATCAAAATCAAATTTAAAGGTATAAAAACAATGAACTATAGCAAACTAAGTTTTTTTTTGTAGAGATCAAAGAGTGAGATTGGAGAGTTAATTTTAAGAGTGTTTTAAGAATGAAAGATTTGTAGAATTGTAATTTAATAAAAAAAAACTTTTATAATGCAATGATAGTTAAGATTTTGTAAGAAATTCAATATTAAAGGCTATGGAGATTAGTGTATTTTTTAGATGGATTATTAAAAAATTAGACATAATCTATGGATGGATTTTTATGAATGAATAATTGTGCAAGCAAAGATTTTGATTCTTAATTTAATTTTTTTAATAATATTCTTAAAATTAATACTAATAATATAATAATTAGATATATATTTAGAGAGGTTAAATCTACAAAATAATAATAATATCTAATACAAGAAGCATCAAATGCTTTAGTGTTATAATAGTACATAGATTAGATAATTGAATTTTTGTATATGATACTATTTTTGGATACCATTAAAAAAGAATTCTTATTAAAAATATATGTTTGAAAAAAATTATAAACATTTTATTATTATCATTTTAAAAAAAATAAATAAATAAGCAAGAAGATTTAGGATATCTATAAACATTTTTTAAATTTTATTTCCGATTTACAAATTCAACTAAGTTTTAGATCTATTAATAAATAAATAAATTGTCTAAATGCATTATTCTAATATGAACTGGATTTGCATAAAATGATATTATGGTACAAAAAGTAAATTCAACAATTAATATCCAAAAGAATTGAAATAATATAAAAATCATGATAAATTATCTATAATCTCTATTTATTACTTATAACAAAGATATAGAGAATAAAAGTTTTATTTCTAATAAAAATCTTATATATAAATAAATTAATAATATTAGTTGGTTTTGTAAAAAAAATAATAATATAATTGAATATTTTTTTAATATAAAAAATCCCTAAAGTTAAAATAAAGGTCTTTTTAGTTTCTAATTTGATAGATGATCTTAGAAGTTTCTAAAGAATAATAAATATTTACAAAAGTATTTATATGATTCTAAAAATTATTAAAATATTCTATTAGTTTTTTGCTATAATGAAATAAAAAAATATAAGAATTTTCAAATTTATATTAAATTTTTTAATTTTTTAATTTATATAATTAAAATCATAATTCTTTTGAGTTATGTATATAAATAGATTAAATTTAAAATAATTTTTTCTTTGGTTTGATTTAATGAAAGCTTTTAGTTTTATTTAAGAGTTTGACAAAAGAGGAGTAAACACAATATTTTGATGGAAAATAATATGATATATAAGACCATTAAAATTACATCAAAATATCTAATAAAAACATGTATCAAATCTTTATAACATTTTATGATTTGATAGATGTTTGTCTTAAAATCTAAAGAATACAAAACATTGCACAAAAGCACAAAAAATATTCTCTATTGAAATGTATTGCTTGACAATTAAGTAAGAGATCCACCTCGCACAATAACAACCAATAAGGAAATAGAATGAGAAGAATGAAAGGCAAAAAGATAAAAGAAAATCCATATTTTCTAATAAAATTGGTTAATGGATTTCTATCCTAACAAAATTTTGTTACTCTAATTAATAGTCATGATAATATGATTTTCATTTTTGATATTACACAAATAAAGACAAGGATAAATTTATAATGTGCATTCTCCAACATCGTCTTAGAAAACAAGCTTCTCACTCTCTACCAAAACATTACATTGGTCTCTAAAAACCCACATGCACGTCTTCCACTTGTTGTGCATGGGAAATACTGTACAATAAACCAACTTTAGTGGTAAAAAAAATTAAAAACAAAAATTTTAACTGTTTCGACTGAAGGCGAATAAATCAAAGGTCGTCCTCAGGCCGCTGATATCTTACCCTGCTGAGGCACCGATCAGGCGAGATACCCGGAACGCTTGCGGGTATCAATCCACCATAGGAGGCTGAAGTTTGCAGATTGCGAGTGGGTCATTTCTAGGCTTCCTCGACAAAATTTTGTTTTGGTCGTTTGTGTCGCGGGAGTGAATGAAGGCGAGCGCAATCCAACCTTGCCATGGCGATGCGCAGGCTGCTCAACTGCGCTCTTCGTGGGCGGAACTTCTGCTCATCTCAATCTGTTCCCGCTCAATTGAGTTCTGTTCGCAGAATTTCTGAGCCGGCTTCGACCCATGGTGAGATCGGCGAAGTCTCTGGGATTCCTGAAACACATCTGAAGCGCAAGGTCAGATGATTGGGTCTCTTTCGTAATGTTCGGGCATGCTTTTCTGCTGCCACGTTCTTATAAAGTGTTTTCCCACTTAGGTGGGAAATGGGTTTGCTGTTGTTGATTGCCAATTACAAAACCCTAATGTTCATCAGCTGTTGGCGCATTTCGGGGGCTGTTTTCTGATCCATTACCGAGTTTCGTCAATTTAATTGACTCATCTAGGGTTTTTTTTCTTGCTTGACCTTCCCGAGATGGTGGGTTTGTTTTTGAGGGAGTTCATACTTTCTCGATGTATTGAATTTAGATTGCACTCATGATGAATTTCAGTTAGTGACATATTCTCCTATTTCCAAACCATTGTTTATCGGTTGTATGTACGCTCCGGGAACTATTTCCTGCCCCTATACTGGGTTTTATAAATTTGATTGATTCAGTTAGGGTTGTGTCGTAGCTTGCATCTCGTCAAGAGGTTAGCCTCAATTTTAGAGGAGTTCAGACTATGTCGATGACCTGTGAGTTTAGATTGTACTCGTGGTGGATTTCAGGTGGTAATTTATTCTCCTTCCCGTTGTACTACACAATCAGGGCCAGCAACGGATCAATGGAAGATTAGCTTTGAATCTGTAAACAAGTATGCTCATAATGTCCCATTTCTCCAGTCAGTCCAGATCCTGCCTCTTTAGCAGTGTAAAGCTAATCATTTGTGCTTCATGCTCCATCTGTTATGCTGCTATTCCCAATACTTTCTGGATATACAGAAAAACTTTAGCGGGGCGTAGAAAACATGTGCAGAAGTGATCTGAAGCCCCTGCTGATGGGGTAGTAGACATATGGGTTTTAATCATATTTCTTTTTGTGGGTAGATGGGAGAACCCTTTGATGGGTTGGACTTCAACAGGGGACCCTTACCATAGTGTAGGTGAGGCATCTCTCAATTTCGATTCCAAGGAGAGGGCAGTAGAGTTCGCTGAGAAATATGGTTGGCAATATACGGTGAGAGCTACTTATCACTTACCTGTCTCCTCTCTGTAATCCTTGACATGTCTTGAGTGAGTTGAATTTAGAGCCCCGCGATGGGATGAAGTAATATTCATGTCGCAGTCTAATATTTGAAGTAATTTATTAGTGAAGTTATTAGCGCTTCAGTCAGCGGCAAACAAGACAAGCTAATCGTCCTTGTCCTGAAGTGAAAGACGGTTTATTAATCTCGGCAGAGCAGCTCGGTTTTTGCATATATTTTTTTTTTATTAACGTTCTTCAATCTTGAAACATTTCTTTTTATTTGTACAACAGTTGCTTACGAGATAACTGTCCAGTATTTTCAGTTCAAATGGTAGTGGAAGTACCTAGTTTGAAAATGTAGGATTTAAAGACATCAAAAGAGAATATGACGAGGTCTTGTTTGAATATATGCTTTATTGCTTGTTTTGCAGGTCCGGGAGCCTCATCAAGCTGTTCTTAAGGTTTTTCACTCTACTTTCATGCAATTACGTAAAGTAATTTATTCTCGGTAGAACTTATTTGGAACTTAATATTTTGTAGACTTTCATAATTGTCTTTTACTGCATCAACCAATCTTGGTCATATACACTTTCAACTTGAAACGATTCAGTACATGGAGCTAAAAGAAACCTGTGGTGCCTTGCAGCCAAAAGCATATGCAGACAATTTCAAATGGAAAGGTCCTGTTCCAGAGTATGATTAGTTCTGATCATCTTAGATATAATTTTCGAAGCCTTCTGAATCAACTTGATTTTGAAAATTGAGATCAGCCTTTTTGGTTCTGGATAAAGTTTTACCTTACGAACTATCAATAAAGGAAGTTGTGGTCGAGAACTTGCTGTATATGATTTAATAGCAGCTGACATAGCCGCATGCTGAAAGTCACAGCATCACCATCTTTGGCTGATTCCCAAGTGCATCAGATGAAACTGTAGCAGTGCTTGCAAATTTTTGTTCCGTCCCGATTTGCAGAATCATTCCCGAATCTATACTTTTCTATTTAGAGCACTTTTGGTTAACACGTGATGATATGAGTGCATGCAGGCTCAAGAATGTGCCTGATAGAACATGTTCGTAATATCCTGTATATTACACCTGGGGTTGACTCCCATGAATTTGCCCAAACTTGTTAAAAAAGACAGCGCGGTGAACTTTGGTCATTTCTTTCTGCCTTAATGAAATATGTATTAAACCTAGTTATTACAGTTTAATATTATGAAATAAACGACCATTTACCTTAAAGAAAAATCCTAACAGCTTTGAGACTTTTTCCTTTAAATCCCAAAAACAAGTGTTATTTTAAATATATAACTTGAAAATTTAAAATCCATGTTGCTTGTAAGTTACTTGCAGAAGATTTGTAATATTAATTTAGGATCATCCTAATGGCCGTCTTACTATAAAGAATAATTATTTAAAAAATGTGCTTTTGGTCAAGAATTACAAACTTTTATCTCTTGGTAGTTTCAATTGGGATTGTTAAATTCAGAATATAGTTGAGGTGACCAAAGACCCTCACATACATTTGCATTAGCTACACCTCTTAAACCATCCAATGAAATGTATATTTGCAAAAAGTTCACTTGACGTCAGTACACTTAATCGACTACATTAGGAATACATCTTAAGTAATTTGTACTGAATGGCAAAAATTTCCATTTTTTGTGCCATTAGAATCCAAATCAATATACATGCATCTAAAATAAATTTTGTGCCATTAGATCCCAAATCAATAATTAAGCATCTTAAATAATTTTTGTGTACATTTATATTATTATTATTTTTTCGTTGAATAGGTCATTCATGAAATTTAGAAATAATAATAACATTAATAATGATTGCAAGAAAGATATTGTAAGAACTTGCAATACATAACATAAACACAAATCAAAATAAAGTTACCAAGACATTGTTATTCAATATGGCCATGTGTTGTGTGATTTTCATAATTGATGTAATTCCAACTGAGCTTCACTTTGTTTATTTGGTTGTTTTTATTCCTATTTTTAGTTTTATTATTTATTTATTTATTTATTAAATTACAAGAATAGATTTGGAACTATTGTTGAAGTTTATTATTATAATGCAAATTGCATGAGAAGCACTTGCCATGTGAGTCTTAATTATAGACACTACTTGTACTGCCAGAAACAATTAGAACATTACATTCCCCATTGTTAGAAGACCATGTGACATTTGATGGTGTTATACAACAAATGGAAACTTGATCAACAATATGTTCATTGAGGAATAAAATAGTCATTTGTCTGAGAGAGGAAGTACTTTGAAAATGATATTCTTGAACGCTTGAATTACGTCCTCCAAGGGCTAAACCACGTCAAGGGCTTCTACTGGCTCCAACTTTCTTGAGAACACATTAAAATGGCCATAATCCAGATCCGCCACTCCCTAGCCCAAAGGCGGTTTCCAAAAGAGCATCACCGCAAAACCTTAAATAGACGATGTAACACCACTACATTCATCCCACATGTAAAACAAGGAGGTGGGAGTTGATCCCATGAGTATTCGGGATCGAGGGACGTCCAGCAAATCAACTTCGGCACGTAGTGAGGAGTTGACCTCCTCAGACAACGGCGCTGGGGATGGCCAGCGAAGCATATGGCCTGCAGCACGAGGTCCAACTGAATCGAAAACATAATACAGTGATTTATTGCGTAATCCGGGTCCCCGTGGCTGATTAGGAGGTGGACGGAAACGGTGGACTGGGCTGCTTAACTTAGCATTTACAGGTCAACGATGGCGCTACAAAGATTGAGCGTGAGCGACATGACCAAGCAATTCTCAATTATACAGGTGTATCCCGGTCAACAGCGATGATGCTCGGGGTTCTTTGGCCCTTGGTGCAGTACACTGCAGCTAAATATAATCCGATTCGGCGGTAGTTTTCCATGAAGCACAGTGGCCGTCGAGTAGCTGAAAGCAACTTTTAGTTGCGTTCTCCGCGACGCGAGGTTCTGGAACAGGAATTTCATACCCGATCGTACAGGCTGCAATGGTCGTAGACGCTAAAGAAAGCTTTCCAAAACGGCAACGAATTTAGTCGCTGCACATCTTAGATTAGCTCGGTCTTTCCGGGGACGCTTGATCCCATTGCTGCAGGGCTTTGGGGGAGAATGAGCTTCATCTCTGAATCTTCACTTGTATAATATGCCACGCATTCGGCACAGGTAACTCATTCGGTGTCACAGTTCCTTGGGTGTGTGTGGTGATCCGGGTCTCTCGAAGGTCTGCGTGCCAGCTACCTGCAGCAGAAGAAAGTTGCGGGATATAGGTGTGCAGCGAGGAGGTTTGTGTACGATGGCGCATCACGCGATGAGGGCCACTGTAATAGCCGTCGTGTTGGTCGCCATGTTGGCCGTGACTGGTGTTGATGCTACGCTGAGGTATGGCTTCTACAAGCACTCGTGCCCTAATGTGGAGAGCATCATTTACAAGGCGATGAAGGCGGCATATGAGAAAGACAATACAGTTGCTCCTGGCGTTCTCCGCCTCATCTTTCATGACTGCTTCGTTCGGGTACGCATGCAGCTGAATATTCAAGTTTTTTTAATTTTTAATATTTTGATATTTGTTTCTTTAGGGTCAATATGCCGCATTAGAGTGGAATTGGTTTAAGGCGGTTCTTTTCTTCGCACCGTGAAGCTCATCACACTGGGGTCGCTGATTCAGAGATATACACATTACAATGCCTGACTCCAAATGTGCACTTTTGACGTGAATCTATTTTCGCGAGCGAGATTGAGGCGAGATCCCGATCATAGAGATCGATACATTGCATTGATGGATCTCATAATGGCTGCAGGGCTGTGATGCCTCCGTCCTTCTGGCTGGAAATAACACAGAGAGAGCTGCCCTGAATAACCAAGGCTTGCACGGGTTCGAGGCCATCGATGCTGTTAAGGACGCAGTCGAGAAAGAATGCCCCGGAGTGGTCTCATGCGCAGACATCCTCGCCTTCGCTTCTCGTGACACAGTGATCCTGACTAAAGGAGTGGGCTGGGAAGTCCCCGCAGGACGGATGGACGGCAGAATTTCTCTCTCCACAGAGCCTCTTCAGGAGCTGCCTCCATCAACATTCACTAGCCAGCAGCTAATATCCATATTTGCTGGCAAGGGACTGACCGCAAAACAGATGGTTGATCTCTCCGGTTCTCACACCCTCGGAATCACCCACTGCCTTCATCTGCGCGACAGGATTTTCACCACCATAGACCCAACTATCCCGAAGAACCTACTCAGGCAGCTGCAGCGCAAGTGTCCCAGTAACACCTCCCTCACTCCCTTGCAGATCGACCGCTACACCGGAAATAAGTTCGACACCCAGTACTTCAGAAACATCGTCAGGGGACGCGGCCTCATGACCTCAGACCAGGATCTGTTCAGAGACCCAGCGACGAAACCTTTTGTGGAGGCTAACCTTAAAAGAGCCACATTCGACAAGAACTTCGCTGAGGCGATGGTGGCGATGACTAGCATCGAGGTAAAGATTGGACACGAGGGGGAGATCAGAAAGCACTGCCAGTTCGTGAACTAGGTCCGAACACTGATTTGCGCTTTTAGTCGGAGACTGTCGATGATTAGATGATGGAGATTGTTTACAGGGAGGCTTGCTTGCATTCCCGACGCCCTCTTCGGCCTAGTGTTGCATTCACAGCATTCCTTCGAATACTCTTAGTAGCTTACAGTAGATTGTTTTCTGTTTTGTGATTCCTTTTGGTATAAATGCCCATTTCGGCAGCTCGCTCCTCGTTTCAAGAGGCTTCGTAACAGAAAATCTCCGCTCGCCATGAGCTTGTCTCTCCCTGTTTGATGTTTGCGCGTCGGTAAAGTGTGCCATCAAGGTTGAAGATGCAATCACCGACACCGGCAATGTTTTTCTAATCACACAATCATGGATGGATGTCGGCAAGATCTCAAGAAGATCTGAGATACACACAATCATGGATGAATGATGGAACAGCGTAGATATTGTGATACTTGTATCACTGCATAACTTAACATCTGTCATCAGAAACGCAGTAATTCTCATTCACTCCCTCCACACCATGTTTGTTCGAAACTGTCCTCTCCGTGTCTACATACAAATATCTTTGTCAAACATGATGTTTGGAGATGAATAGGAAATGGTGGATTGTGAGCAATAGCCAAGACTATTCTTGTTTACTTTCAAATTTCCATTCTGTAATGTTTGATCCTGTGGTCTGTCTTGTTTGTCTGTGTGTGATTGTGTCTAAAAGGAAACAAATGTTGTTCATTGCTTGTTGAGACTTCAGGCAGTCTCACATAAAAAGTTCATTTGTTTTCGAATTTGTAGAAATTATGAGTGGCGGTTTTACAATACTAGTTATTTTCTTTGTAATTGCTTCAGCCTTCTCACAATGACAATGACTTGTGTTTTCTACTTACTGATGAAATTTAAATTATGTATTTTTATTTTTATTATATATTCTAAACACAATTTATATAAAATAATTTAGAGCACATTACAACATTTTTTTTTTTATCTTTTTATACCTTCAAAACAAAATGTCAGACTTTGTGTGACTTAATATAATAGATTTCAAAAGTTGGGTCAAACCTACTCCTAGACTTGATTCTTAGGAAAAATACTTTTAGAAAAACATATTCATATAATTCAAAGGCTTTAAACAAGGAAGTAGATCTTGAAGTTTCAAATTTGCTTGTTGTCTAGGAGAAAAGAGCCATAAATGTAATCTGTAGACCTAAAGGTAGAGAGATGGAAGAAGCATGAGTAAAGCCCATAGGCTTAAAAATGGAAGGGAGTATTAAAAAGGAGTGAGAATTATCTAAATACTAGTAACTCACTTATATTACTAGTGATGTTAGAAGAAAAGAATTCTTTGATCTTCTAGATGATGGAAAATAGAACTAATGTGCAAACTGTTACTAGAGCATGTTGATTTATTGGAAAGAATATTCACATGTTAGATGGATGGTTTCTAAGTATAGTGGTTTTTTTATTTGAAAATAGATAATAAATTAAGCATAAAACCTTGTGGTTCCAAATTCTAGCCTATAAAAAAATATTTAATTATTTTTTTTATATTTTTGGATTAAATCTAGAAGCTTATGTTCTAAAGTGTATTTTAAAAACTTATAGTGTATTTTTCTTTCACTTCAACTAACTTTTAATGCAATGAATAATTTTAATATAATAATATATTATTATTATTTTTTTATGATATATGATAATTATTTAATATAATATGATTAAAAAATTATAATAAATACTTTTAATTTTTTTAATTATAGATTTTAATAAATCATCATCATTTTAAAAAAATGATATAAAAATCTTATTATTATGTGCTTGTAAGGATGTGTGGAAAAAGAAGGTATCTATGAATAATATTAATAGAGTATGTAACTCATATTAGATATAATGTAGAATAGGCGGTTGACACTACTTTGCCAGTTGATAAGTCATAGCTATCATTTGTTGGTGGTTATACCATTTAAGCTTCATAGACTATCAAGCCATTATGCGACTTAATAAGACAAGTGTCAACATGTTAATTGGACATTGTTGACTAAACTAGTTGTTTGTGTATTCACACTAGTAAGTCTATGTGGTTTGATATTAGACTAGTAATATATGAATTCAAATCAAAAGCTCATTTTGGTAAGTGGTTTTAGACTTCTTCTCTTAACATATTTTTATTTTTATTTTAAGAATATTCTTTTTTAATTTTATTATATAATATTAGAACTCGATGCTTTTGAATTAATCTTTTTGGACTAAGTATATGTATGAGGTTGTTTTGTAGAACATGGTCTTTCAATCATCTTTGAAGTTTTTTTTTTTTTTTTTTTTTTTTTTCAATAGCTCTTATTAGAAGCAATGTAAAAAAGCGAGAAGAACAAAAAGAAGGGATTGGAGCTTCAAGAAAATTTTTCCATAGTCCATAGCTTCTGCAAGCACAATCTATAGTTTATATAAATCTATAGTGTAGTCAAGGATATGCAATCGAGAACAGACTATGGAGAATGTGCATTTTTGATCAACTATCGAGAATGCGCAGTCCAAATTGCCTTGCCGAGAACAAACTATTGAAAATGGGCAATCAAATTGACCAATGAAGAATTTTGAGATGCAAATCAAGACTTCAAACACCAAATTCAAAGGAATTTAGGAAATCTAAAGAGTCTAGCAAGTCCAAAGACTCCAAAAAGATTTATACATTAAGTTTTTTGATTTAAATTGGACATATATTTGTCAAAATTTATATATTTTAGTCAATTTTAGAAATTTAAAATTAAATTTTTTTAGAAGTGCTAGTGGTAGTATAATACAATGGTAGCACCATAATATTTTAGAATTTTTTTTAAAATTTCTATAAATAATCAAATAAAAGACTATAAAAGGTATTTTAACTCATTTTGATTCTATTTTTTTCTTTTTTTTCTTTTTTTTAGTCCTATTATTTCTTCTATCTTTTGCATATTTTTTGTATTATAGCAATAATATATTGCATGATAGAAAAATTTATCAAAGACAATTGGTACTTTTAGAAAGAGATGATTAGATTTATTCTAATTGATAAGGAATTGTAGAACGTTATATGTAAAAAATACAAGAAATCTATTGGATCACCCGTAGATCTAGTTGAGTTAGAAAAATAAAAAGATATAGATAAGCAAGCATTATTTATAATTTTTTTTCTTTAGTTTAGAGTTCTTGACAACAAGCAAAGCTATAAGTGTAGAGCCTGCATAGAAGAGTCTAAAAAAAACATATGAGGTTAAAAATACCTCAAGCCTATTATTCTTGAATTATAGGTTTTAAACTGCACAAATGAATGAAGGTAATAACATCATCAAGCATATAGACAAATTATAAGAAATAATTGAATAACTTTTTTTTATTGGAAAAAAATCTTGGATACATATTTTGTCATGGCATTATTAAAGAGTCTTCTAAAGTCATACCGTACCCTAATAGTATTGTTAGAAACATGACCTTTTTCTAAGTTGACATTAACTATGGTCACAACTTAGTTATTAGAACAAGAGTCTCATCACAAGAATGTAGGATCGACTTTTGAGGTGGCATTGGCTAAGAAAAGAAAATCCAAGCTACATTCTCATATTCATATTCATGTAGGATCTTCACATGATTATAAAAAGAACGCCAAATATAAATATTGTAATAAAAAAGGTCACTATGAGAGAGAGTATCAAACCAAGAAGAAAGACATGAAGTTAAGAAAGTTAAAAAGGGATTTTCAAAAAAAGCAAGCTAATACAAGACATAAAAAAGATCAAAAGGAAGATGAATCTATCTTTGTAATTGCATTATTTGTAACTATAAGTAACAAAGAATGGTACATCAATTTTGATGCTTCTCAATACATAATAAGAAATTGAAGTTAATTATCAAGTTACAAAAACCTACTAAAAAGGTCTAAAGTCTATTTGGGAGATGATACTAGATTTTCTATCAAAAAAAAAGATAAGATCTCTTTTTAATTTTCAAAAAATATTTAAAAAGATGTACATAATATCTTAAATATTGAAGGATTGGCCAAGAATTTGCTTTCTATTAACAAAATAATAAATTAAGATTATAAAGTCAATTTCAAGACTAATACATGTCTCATGAAATGAGATTATATAACCATTAAAGATATTAGGTATAATAGCTTGTACAAGTTAAAAAGATCTTTGGATGAAGATAAAAAGACTTTCCTTGTTACAAAGATAAAACACACTTTGAACAAGGCTGATATCTAGCACCAACAATATAGTCATCTTAGCATTTCAAGCTTAAAGAAACTACAAGTAGGTGATATAATCATTCATTTGGACATAAGTAAGAACACAAAATTAGAGTTTTGCAAAAGGCGTATTTATGAAAAACAACATCATGATACTTTTCTATTAAAAAGTGGTACTTGTGCAATAAAATTCTTGGAATTGATACATTCTAATATAAATGGTTTTAAGAGGATATCATCTTAGAGAGGGATAAAATACTTTGTCACTTTTATTGATGATCTTTGAAGAAAGACTTTTGTATACTTCATGAAACAAAATTTTGAAGTCTTGGATAAGTTTAGGATTTTCAAGGCTCTAGTTGAAAAACAAATAGGCTTAAATATTCAAAAATTATGCAATGGCAATGGGAGGGGGGAAAGAGGGGAGGTATACATCTAAGGCCTTCAAATATTTTTGTAAGCAACATAGCATTGAAAGATAATTTTTGATGCCTTATATGCCTCAATAAAATAGAGTTGTAGAACACAAAAATTGAATATTGTTTAAGAGTTCAAAGTGCATGTTATAGCATAAGCAACTTTCAAATGCATGGCAGACAAAAGCCATCAATATTGTAACATATGTCCTTAATTGAGCTTCTACTATAGATGTAGAAAGAAAAATACCTAAAGAAGTTTGGCCAAATATAAAACCTTCAATATAATATCTTTATATCTTTGGATGTGATGCCTATGTACATGTTTCAAATAAAAAACATACAAAGCTTGATGCCAAGAGCAAAAAATACATATTTTTGATCTATGTTGAGGATATTAAGTACTATTGTAAGTGCTATATTGAAGATATTAAGAGTTGTGATATTAAGTTTGTTGAATGTAAAGACTCTAAAAAAAATGGAAGGAAGTTTAGAAGTTTTTATTAATAAACCTCAAGAAATAAGAATTAAAATTGAGTCTAAGGAGACATCATCAAATTCAAAAAGTGATAGTGATGATACAATGGGAGATTTAGATACTAGCAAAGATCATCAATAACCAATTCTTAAATC